GGTTCTTTGAAAGAATTAACAAGATTGATAAACCCCTGGCCAGACTTATCAAAAAGAAAAGAGAAATGACCCAAATCAACAAAATCATGAATGAAAGAGGAGAGATCACAACCAACACCAAAGAAATACAAACAATTATAAGAACATATTATGAGCAACTCTATGCCAGCAAATTAGATAACCTGGAAGAAATGGAGGCATTCCTAGAGATGTATCAACTACTAAAACTAAACCAGGAAGAAATAGAAAGCCTGAACAGACCTAGAACCACTAAGGAAATTGAAGCAGTCATCAAAAATCTCCCAAAAAACAAAAGCCCAGGGCCAGATGGCTTCCCAGGGGAATTCTACCAAACATTTCAAGAAGAATTAATACCTATTCTTCTGAAACTGTTCCAAAAAATAGAAATGGAAGGAAAACTTCCAAACTCATTTTATGAGCCCAGCATTACCTTGATCCCAAAACCAGACAAATACCTCATCAAAAAGAAGAATTACAGACCAATATCCTTGATGAATATGGATGCAAAAATTCTCACCAAAATACTAGCCAAGAGGATACAACAGTACATTAAAAGGATTATTCACCACAACCAAGTGGGATTTATCGCTGGGCTCCATGATTGGTTCAACATACACAAATCAATCAATGTGATACAAAACATTAATAAAAGAAAGAACAAGAACCATATTATCCTCTCAATAGATGCAGAAAAAGCGTTTGACAAAGTACAGCATTCTTTCTTGATCAAAACTCTTCAGAGTATAGGGATAAAGGGTACATACCTCAATATCATAAAAGCCATCTATGAAAAACCTACAGCGAGTATCATTCTCAATGGGGAAAAACTGAGAGCTTTCCCCCTAAGGTCAGAAACACAGCAGGGATGTCCACTATCACCACTGCTATTCAACATAGTATTAGAAGTCCTAGCCACAGAAATCAGACAACAAAAAGAAATCAAAGGCATCCAAATTGGCAAAGAAGAAGTCAAACTTTCACTCTTTGCAGATGATATGATACTTTATGTGGAAAACCCAAAAGACTCCACCCCAAAACTGCTAGAACTCATACAAGAATTCAGTAAAGTGGCAGGATATAAAATCAATGCTCAGAAATCAGTAGCATTCCTAAACACCAACAAGACAGAAGAAATAGAAATTAAGGAGTCAATCCCACTTACAATTGCCCCCCAAACCATAAGATACCTAGGAATAAATCTAGCCAAAGAGGCAAAGGATCTGTACTCAGAAAACTATAAAATACTCATGAAAGAAACTGAGGAAGACACAAAGAAATGGAAAAACGTTCCATGCTCATGGATTGAAAGAACAAATATTGTGAAGATGTCAATGCTACCTAGAGCAATCTACACATTCAATGCAGTCCCCATCAAAATACCATCCACTTTTTTCAGAGAAATGGAACAAATAATCCTAAAATTTGTATGGAACCAGAAAAGACCCCGAATAGCCAGAAGAAGGTTGAAAAAGAAAAGCTAAGCTGGTGGCATCACAATTCCAGACTTCAAGCTCTATTACAAAGCTGTCATCATCAAGACAGTATGGTACTGGCAGGAAAACAGATACACAGATCAATGGAACAGAATAGAGAGCCCAGAAATGGACCCTCAACTCTATGGTCAACTAATCTTTGACAAAGCAGGAAAGAATGTCCAATGGAAAAAAGACAGTCTCTTCAGCAAATGGTGTTGGGAAAATTGGACAGCCACATGCAGAAGAATGAAACTGGACCATTTCCTTACACCACACACAAAAATAGACTCCAAATGGTTGAAAGACCTCAATGTGAGACAGGAGTCCATCAAAATCCTAAAGGAGAACACAGGCAGCAACCTCTTCGTCCTCAGCCACAGTGTGAATTCTTCCTAGAAACATCGCCAAAGGCAAGGGAAGGAAGGGCAAAAATGAAGTATTGCAACCTCATCAAGATAAAAAGCTTTTGCACCGCAAAAGAAACAGTCAACAAAACCAAAAGACAACCGACAGAATGGGAGAAGATATTTGCAAATGACATACCAGATAAAGGGCTAGTATACACAATCTATAAAGAACTTCTTAAACTCAACACCCAAAGAACAAAGAATCCAATCAAGAAATGGGCAGAAGACATGAACAGACATTTTTCCAAAGAAGACATCCAAATGGCCAACAGACATATGAAAAAGTGCTCCACATCACTTGGCATCAGGGAAATCCAAATCCAAATCTCAATGAGATATCACCTCACACCAGTCAGAATGGTAAAATTAACAAGTCAGGAAACGACAGATGTTGGCGGGAATGCGGAGAAAGGGGAACCCTCCTACACTGTTGGTGGGAATGCAAGCTGGGGCAGCCACTCTGGGAAACAGTACGGAGGTTCCTCAAAAAGTTGAAAATAGAGCTACCATATGATCCAGCAATTGCACTACTGGGTATTTACCCCAAAGATACAAATGTAGGGATCCGAAGGGGTACGTGCACCCCAATGTTTATAGCAGCAATGTCCACAATAGCCAAACTGTGGAAAGAGCCAAGATGTCCATTGACAGAAGAATGGATAAAGAAGTGGTATATATTTACAATGGAATATTATGCAGCCATCAAAAAGAATGAAATCTTGCCATTTGCAACGACGTGGATGGAACTGGGGGGTATTATGCTGAGCGAAATAAGTCAAACAGAGAAAGACATGTATCATATGACCTCACTGATATGAGGAATTCTTAATCTCAGGAAACAAACTGAGGGTTGCTGGAGTGGTGGGGGGTGGGAGGGATGGGGTGGCTGGGTGATAGATATTGGGGAGGGTATGTGCTATGGTGAGTGCTGTGAATTGTGTAAGACTGTTGAATCACAGATCTGTACCTCTGAAGGAAATAATACATTATATGTTAAAAAAAAGAAAAAGAAGAAGATAGCAGGAGGGGAGGAATGAAGGGGGGGAAATCGGAGGGGGAGACGAACCATGAGAGACGATGGACTCTGAAAAACAAACTGAGGGTTCTAGAGGGGAGAGGGGTGGGAGGATGGGTTAACCTAGTGATGGGTATTAAAGAGGGCACGTTCTGCATGGAGCACTGGGTGTTATACTCCAACAATGAATCATGGAACACTACATCAAAAACTAATGATGTAATGTATGGCCATTGTTTATTATGTTATGGTTAACATAACATAATAAAAAAAAATTTATTTTCCCATTTAACAATCACTGTCTTTTTTTTTTTTTAAAGATTTTATTTATTTATTTGAGAGAGAGAATGAGATAGAGAGAGCATGAGAGGGGGGAGGGTCAGAGGGAGAAGCAGACTCCCCGCCAAGCAGGAAGCCCGATGCGGGACTCCAGGATCATGACCTGAGCCGAAGGCAGTCGCTTAACCAACTGAGCCACCCAGGCGCCCGCAATCACTGTCTTTTAATTAGTATGTGGATCATTTACCTTTAATGTAACTATTGATGGTTGCATTTAAGTCTATCTTTTCCTTTTTTTTTTTTTTTTTTTTTGCTTGTCTCCTCTGATTTTGTCCCTTTATTTCCTTTCCCTATCTTCTTTTTCTTTTCTTTTTTTGGTAATTCATTTAAATTTATTGCTTGTTTTCTGTATCTCTTTGTATTTCTTTAGTACTTGGTTTAGAGAGTATGATATATATAACCAAATTAATATATTTCCAACTCGAGCAAACTGCAGAAGCAAAATTTGAAGCCAAAGAGTGTTTTGGATAAAAGAGTGAAATTAATCTAATTAACAAGATAACTTTGTTGCTCTGTTGAAAATAGACTCTAGGGGTACAAAGGGTAAAGTAGGAAGACTATTGTAAATATAAGGAAAAAATATAAGGAGTTTCCTTCTCTTACTATTTTGCTGATGGTTTTTATTAAGAAAAAGTATTAATTTTGTCAAATGCTTTTTCTGCTTTTTTATTGAAGTATTTTTTTAATTAATCATTTAATTCTGTTAATGCAGTGACTTATTGACTTATTTTACAGTGCTTTGCATTCTGGAATAAACCCCATTTGGTCATAAGGTATTATCCTTGTTATGACTTTGTTAATTTAACATTTACTAAGTTGAATACAAGGTGTTGGATGGTGAGCCATGGTTCCATAAAAGACCACAAGAGAAATCGAAATAGAGAGTTTATTACTCATAAGTCCTGAAGCAAGTATACAGTATGCCTCAAGGGACCACATAGGGAGATCAAGGCAGGGTGTAGGCCGAGCACGAGGCAGGACCTGGGACACATGCATTTATTAGGGTCCATGGGGGGAGTGCTTTGGTGTTCCTAGAATAAGGCTGGATTGCTCAATTCAAACCAAAAAGAATGGGGTTTTGATAAACTCCATGAAGGTCTTATTTAAGGGCATGCAAGGAAGATCCTGAGAGGCTGAGGAGACTGTTGGTCACAAGGGCTGTTGGGGAAATCATGTGAGGAACTTATATTTGTTTGTGACTCTGTGGGCTATTATCTGGGGCATGTGCTTGCAATGAGGGGTCTAGTATCTGTTTAAGACCCTGGTTTGCTAAACAAAATGGATGCTGAGGCAGCAATACCATGAAGTAGTTTAGCTAACTCTCAATAATTTGTTTATATATATTTAGATTTGATATGTTAATATTTTGTTAAAGAATTTTGAGACTGTTCATGAGGGATAAGGTCCATAATCTTGTTTTTGCAAGATTCTTGTCTAGTTTTGGTATTAGGGTTATGTTAATCTCATACAATGAAATGGGAAAATCTTCAGAAGTGTCCTTTCTAGGGTTCCAACTGAATGCTTGGGTATTCAGCCAAGTCTCTTCACTGGGCTTGTCAAAACATAAACATCTCTCAGTATTGTGAGAGCTTTGGAATCTGCATTAATCTCATGGCCCTTGAATAGTTGTTCCCTATAAGCCTCTTGGAATCTTGCTCTGTGCATGCATAACTTAGTATTTATCCAGAGACTAAAGGGATCTTTATACAGATATATGGGGCTATTATTCTATACAGCTGTGGTATATTTCCTCACAAATTTCACTTTGCTTTCTCTACTCAGCAAGGTTTCTGCTATTTGTGATCCACTGTCTGTGCTGCTATTTGTAAAATGCTTCCAGGTGAAAGCCAGGAAGAATATGAAGTTCATCTCATGCATTGTTTTTCCTCTCAAGAATAACACCTGTATTGTTTTTGTCCAAGGCTTAAAACAGTTTCTTCGTTTATTTTTGTTCAATTTTTTTATTGAGGTATAATTGACATAGAACATTATATTAGTTTCAGGTGTACAACATAATGATTTAATATTTGTATATACTGTGTAATTATTTTTGTTCAATTTTTGGGTTATTTATTGTGGGAGGATGAATATGATACCAATTATTTCATTATAGCAAAAACTATGTATCTAGACATGTCAAATTTGAGATGTCTATTAGGTAACCAGATAGCAAAGTATGGTAAACTACTGAATGCATGAATTTGGATTTCATGAATAAGGTCCATGCTGGAGACATAAATTGGGTATTCACCAGTTTATATAACGTATATAAAGTTTTGAAGTGGATGAGATCTCCTAAAGTGTTAGTTTAGATTGAGAGGAAATATAAGGACTGAGCCTTTGGGCAACTTTAAAATATCAGGGAGATGAGGAAGAATCAACAAATTCAGAAACATCGAATGGGTAGGAGCAAAAATAGTAGTGTTGTGACCTAGAAGCCAAGTGAAGAATATGTTTCAAAGAAGAGGTAATCTTCAACTGTGTCAACCAGTGCTGATTAGTCAAGAAAGGTAAGAATATGAACAGATCATTGGATTTATCAAACACTGGAGTCATAATAACCTTAACACCAGAAGTTCTATTGGAGTAGTGGGGATGAAAGCCTGACTGGTGTGAATTCAAATCAGAATGGAGACAAAGTATGGGGACTTTGTAAAATTAGGAATATACAGATTATGTGGAAAGAAATTAAATATAGATAGTAAAAAATATACAGGAATGTCCTAGAGTGTTTGATAGAACTTTACTTGGAAACCACTGGACCGGAGCTACTTTAGATGGAGGGGTATTCCTGGCATATTCTGTTAAATGTTCAACAACTGGCTCTCTGAAAAGAAAAAAAAAAAAAAAAAGCCCTGATTTGTAGCATTTGCCAATCTCTGTGATGTAATAAATACTCCCAATTTGGGAGATTTCAAGCTACCAATGTGATGTCACTGAACACAGAAGAGATACATATGATCCACTTTTAAGAGCTCAGCATATCACTGGATATATATTCCTCTTTTCCAATTTATTTTATGACTATTGGTCTGTTAAGATTTTCATTTTACTTATTCTTAAATTGGTTTTATCAATTTGTATATTCCTAAAAAATTATCCATTTCATTTAAGTTATCTTAGGCTGTTACTGAAAAATGGAGGCTGTGAATTATTTAGGGATCACAAATATATAAAATTTTGTTTACACCCTTCATTTGTGTGAAAATAATTATAGTACAGTATAAAAACAATCTTTGCTGAGAACAGAAATATGATGTCCACTTTCATCACTCTGTCAGAAACAAACTGCATGATATTTAAAAAGTATGGATATCAAACTCTTAATATATATGTAGGATGTACAAACAAGATGTAATAGGACTTTTTACATTAAAAAGACAGCTTGAGCAGAAAAAAGACTAAAATTGAAAACATTGCAAAAAACCTGTCCTTTCGTCTACTTCCTAGCAGATTTCTTCATCTTCTAACCCTCCTACCATTTTCATTATCCTACCATATTTTTAATTTCTAAGAATTTTTTTCATCATCTTGTGTTTGTTCATGGATACAGTATCTTATCTTATGGAAGATATTAATTATATTTTTTGAGGTTTTCTTCTGGTTGTAGTATTGGCTCTTTTCCTCCAAGTTTCTCCTTATGCCTTTTGGTTTGCTTTTGTTTTTCTCTTTAGGGTTATAGTCTTTCCTCAAACATCTGTTGATTTTGGTGGTTCCATCATATTTAAGAGTAATTTAAGAGCTCTGTATCTGTGTGTGTGGAGGTTTTAAATGATGTGCTTCATGGTTGGGTGATAGAAATGGGCCATTTTCTTGGGAGAAAGACACACATACACACACACACACATATACATACATAAAATACACATGTATATATTTTTTCAATAAGTCAATTTCTCCAGAGCAAAGTTCTTTAATCCATTGCCTGAAAGTTGTAAAAGCCTGGCTACCAGTATTCTTGGAAGCAAGTTAAAAGTAGGTCCTCCTAAATATCACCACTTGGTATGTTCTTTCTAATATTTCCCCATTTTTTTTTCTTTTAGTATGCACCTTACTCCAATTCTCAATGAACCATGTGTTCCTAACTCCAGGATCCACTTGGTTTAGTAAGAGAAGAAAGCCTCAATCTTCTGCCAAGGTAGGGGAAGAGTGGTCACCAGCTGGTAGTAGGAGATGGTGGTCCAGGAATCTTACTGCCGCTTCTTTGGACTTTTCAATCAGTTCAGCCATATTTAGCTCCAACTACACACTCTCTGGGATACCTGAGGATTCCAATTACTGAAGCTGTCTTGGATTCTGCCGCCCAAATCAGTTTGGTTCTGGGCTTCCTTCATGGCCAGTTTGCGTTCAGCTTTCTCTGGGCTGCTACTTAGTACTACTTGTGCGTTTGCTTTCTTGTTTCCAAATTTGTGTGGCTTTCATCTCCTCTACTATTTTCTTTATGCCTGTGACTTCCTATCTTAAACTTTTAAGTTATTTTAGTGAGGTTTCAGGAGAGGTGAATCAACATTAACTTCTATCTTCTCTCTTTAATTATAAATTGACTAGTTTTAGTTTTATTCTTATGTAGGACTACCTTCTCTCTCTCTGTTTCTTCCTCCCTCCCTCTGTCCCTCTCTGTCTCAGTCTCTCTCTGTCTCTGAATTCAGAGCCCTTTCAACCTTAGGCATCTCTCTGTCAGCACAGAAAATGTTTTTCTTATTATATCATTGATTGTAGTGCATTTTCTTTCTTTCTTTCTTTTTTTTAAAGCCACTTTCTTTAAGATCTAACTCTGGGATTATCTTCTGTGTGAACCAAATCTGACCTCCCCCAGCAGAGCCAATCTCTCCATTCTCTGTATTTCCATTGCACTTTGAATAATATTCTGTTATAGCACTTACCAAGGTGTTTTGCCAAGTGAGTTTTGTTTTGTATTTATCCTCCGACTGTAAATTCCTTGAGGCATATTCTATGCAGTCAGTATATGTTAGGGGAATGAGCAACGGAAACAGTGTGACCTAGAGAGATTTCTGATAAGGTGAAGAGGCACAGATAAGAAATGAAAATTGGTTCCCAGATATAGAATTGTTAGGCTAAACTATAATATAAACCAAGATCCAGAGATACAGAGTTGCATAGAAGTGTTTGTTGCAGCTTTGCTTATCATAATAAGAAATGGTAAACATCAATGAGGGAATGATTAAGAACACCATAGTATATTCATTTGATGATTATCCTTGTTACTTATAAAAGAAAATTTAGAAAAATTTCACACACAAAAAATCATGTAAAAAAACAAAACAAAAACAAACTCAGAAAAAGTGATCAGATTTGAAAAAAAAAATTATGTGATAGAATGTTAAGTTTAAGAAGCAAAATACAAAATTCTATATGTGGTATATTAAAAAAAACCTATACACAGAAAAATATATTGGTTGTCTTAGGGTAGTAAAAATATGGGTGGTTTTCTTATATTATCCAATGTTTTCATAAAAAACATGTACTGTTTTTATAGTAAAAAAAGAAATAAAAGAAAAAAATTGTAAAAATGGGAAAATTTCTTATAGCAAGTTGAGGACTTTCTAAGTCACAATCTAAGGTTTTTTAAAAGGAAGGGCAGGAAGAGGCATGAAAAGAGGGGTTCAGGACTATTTTTCAGAGGTCAGTGAGGGAAAGGCTTTTACTGAGTAAAAAGAACACGTGCATTGTGTGGTGAGGAAAAAACAGTAAATGACATTAGGTGGGAAAGCAGTCTTATAAACAGAATACCAATGAATTCTTTGAGTCATTCTATTTTAAATTGAACCTCAGAATTCTTCCTACTGTTTACTGCTTCTTTTAAGAAGGAGGCCGTGGTTTAACATGAGACCTGGTAGTTTTGGCAGAATTGAATGAAGCTATCTGGTATTGAGCACAGCTGAAGATGGGTGGATGGGGATTTTGTTTATTTCTGTATTGACAAAATAATTTACTGTCTGTTTTATATAATATGTTGGGTGGTGGTTAGGGAAGGGAGTTTCTCTAGGAGTCCTGTCTTGGCTCATGGTGCTTGCCATGATAATAAAAAAAGAAAAAGCTTATTAACCATTACCAGATTTAAAAGTTTTTTCTTGTATTCCTCCTTTGACTGTAAAATTCCTTTAGAGTACTTATATTTGAAGTATAAGAGAGGATAATTGTGTATCCAATTTCAGTGAAAAAATTGTTTTTGACCTAAGTCATATGAATTGATTATATCGATGGACCCAAATTTGCCTGGGAAAAGTGCATTTTGCTTTGAATTTATAGTTTTTGCCTTGACCTCTTAGCATCTCTTGATCTTTTTAGTACCATGGGCCCTTTTGACCATCTGGTGAAGATTAAATGAATACAATAAGATATATTGAATTATAAAGAGAACATTATATATACACATCAAAATATTAAATTCATAGCATAGTCATTTATGTACCTCTTTATTAACACATTAAATTACAAAATAATACATTTAAAATATAGCTGAGTTAATTTTATGTATTAAAGACAGTATAAAGGTTTTGATGCTTAGCTTAAATGAGAACATTAAACTCTGGGGTAACCTCAGACTCATCTCTTTCAATGATCAGCCAATAATTGCAGGTAGGGAATACTGGAAAGCAACATGGATCTGGGTCCCCTCTGTGAGAACATGTGATTTTAAAGTGAGAACATGTGAGAATATGGTGGACAAATGACTATGAAATGCACAATAATTGTTCAATAGTTGGTTATCCACATTGCATGCTGAGCATTTTAGGCAGGAAGATAGCAACCAGTTAGCTATCACCATAATTCTGAAGTAGTGATATGTGTAAATGATATTTTTAGGTATCTGTAGTAACTATAATGTGATATGAAAATATTTTTGATTCCTATTGGTGACAAAGTTATAGATGCTGCTAATATTGCTGTGATTTCTTGTTTCTATTTATACTCAAGGGAAATGTCAAGTTAGAGTCTAGGGAAGAAGAAAAGATACAATTTTTTTCTCCTACGCATGCTCATGAAACTCTCAAATTCTACCCTTGGATCCAAGGTTAAGCATGTTTGCCTTAGATTCTTTATTAGTCTCACTCATGACCCTCAACTATATTAGTCATGGATTTTTAGACAATAACATTGGAGCCGCTCTTAATTCCTTCTCTGCCGTTGTGCTTTAGTTTAATTGGTATTGAATCTTGAAGAAGGTGTTTTTGGCAAAAGTGTTTGATTTTAGATAGTGAAATCTGAGAAAAGTGAACTAGGCCAGAAACCATGGAGTCTGGTTGTTTTCAGATCTAAAAAGTGACTTGCTCTAAGAACAAACTTGCCCTGCTTTTCTTCAGGACTTGAGAAAAGTTGAGCCCATTTTTGTTTTCATGTTGAACCTTTTTCTTTGTCAACCACAGGAAAAGATCTGAATCAGAGACACATGGTGTGATGTTTGGCCCCCAGAGGTATAGTTAGCCCAACAGAGCTATCCTGCAAAGCGTAGTCTCAATTTATGGTTTTAATCAAAGGAACTAGTCTGGATTTGTTTAGTTTCTTTTTTCATCTTAACGGAGATAGTGTGTGTGGGGGTGGGGGGAAGAATCTTTATTTCTGCTGTAGGCTTAGATCTAGTCAGAAAGCTGTAGGGAACCCTAATCCTGTAATCTGTGTTGAGTTTTTCAAATGTATAAATTTAAGATATGTATATTTGAGCTATATATAGTATCAACCATTTTAATGGAAAATAGCTTTACAATGTTAGGTCTAGTTTTCTTCCAAATTTTATGGCTTTGAAGCCATTCATATAATTTAAAATTATAAAATTGAGCACATTTTTCACAAGTGAACACATTGTACCTAATTCTCTATGTGCACTGTTTCCTGGGGTTTGGAAAAATAACAAAGACTTACTTTGTGTGGGATTCTCAACTGAGAACAAGGAATAGGGATTTAAGGTTTCAGTTTGAAAGTCCTCTGGTTCCACTTTTGTTACACAGATAAATCCTAATAATCAGTGCAGAATGGGTACTAGAAAAAAGACATTTAAAAAGGAATCATTTTAAATGGTGGCAAAAATTTTAAGATAAATATTAAAAAAAAGTTTAAATTGGATCATTACTTTGAAAAAGAAATACAATCACTAAAGTAAGTTTATTTTATTTCACATTACAAAATTTAGCTTTTAACTACACATTGATTTAAAACAAGAAATGAATCAAGTGTTATATTTTTGGCATACATTTTCTGACAAATGGTATGATAGTAGGATATGACATTTTTATCTTCATGTTTTTAATTTTTTTTAGTGTGATCATGTAGAGTCTTTTACTTTTTTGCAAAAATTTTCAAGGGCTTCACTACTTTTCCCAACAGCTTTGTTTCATATATTTATATTCAAATTATCCTCTTTTAGGTGCCTACTTTGTTTTTTCATTTTGTAAGATCTAAATTTCCCTTTTCAATCTATTTGCTCTGTGTTGTCAAATGTTAAGGAGTCTGAATTTCCATGAGGGTAGATGTTAGTGTATTACATGGGAAGGGATGTTGAGTGGTAACTAATTTCTAGTTCTTTCGTGAAAAATTTCAAGTTATAACTATTATTTCCCTATGCATCCTCCTAACTGGGTAGGGGGGACTCATCTCCCAATTCCTCTTTAAAATATTAATGAAGACACCAGAAGAAATATGAAGTTATAGTAGTACTGAACCCCTGGCTCACTGGCCAAAGATTTGACATATATGGGGAGGAATTTCCAATAATCAAATTGTGGAAAGGGCCCTGAGGAGGAATATGGGGTTGAGCTGTTAAATGGTAGGATGTATCTACCCTTTATCACGTTGTCATCTACTTTGGAGACAGGGAACTTTCACTGACCAGAAGGTAAAAGTAAGAGAGTGTCTTCTGCATTCTGTCTTTATATCTTTTCTAAAACCACCCAGGGCATTAACCTTCATCTTAAACTCCCTGTCATCTTTCTCTCTCAAATAGTATTTTTGAAGTTCATTTGGAGATGAAAATTTGCTGTAATGCACTATATTTTGCAATGGACAACCAGAGGTGTTTTGTGAGTAGACATGTGAAGACTGTAGTAATAATGATTATGTATAATGACACTCTTGCAGCCAGAGTGCTTGGTTCCAATTCCCATCCTACCAATTTAATGTCTTCCATTGTTTTGAGTGTGGGTTAATATTCAATGTTGAACTAGTAACCTATGCTTTTTTTCTCTTCTTAGAATCTCTACTGTCAGGAGGAAAGTTGGCCCTGAGATCCTTTCCTCAGGTAAGTGATGTTAACATGGTAGAAAAAGGCACCTAAGACTTAGGTGAAGTTAGAAGATTCAGGGTATAGACAAAATGTTTCTGAGAAACAATGAGAAAGATTAGGGCTGCTTCTTATTTTACCAGACAAGAAAAAGATTCCTCAGGGATGAGAAGAGGGAGGTTCTATGGAAGAGTATTGATGAAAGCAGGGAGTCTAGGGGGTCCCAGAGAAAGGGTTCCTGCTCTCTTCTCTCCAGACTGACAGCTGGGGAGGTGCCAGAACTTAGAGAAGCTTGGGGATGGGATAGGTGACTTGGACATGATGCCTTTCATACCCAAAAAGATAAAGTCATGCCAACCTCACAGAGTCACATTCCTTAACATGGCATGAAAACAGGTGGAAAAAGAATCCTGTTTTATTCTCAGATGGTACGGAGGAAGCAAAGAGAACAGCAGATCCTGAAGCAGCTATTTAGATAGGAAAGAGGACAGCTTCTCATTAAGCTATGTAGACTGATGACTGCAGAGCAATTGGGATGGTGGATGTCTCAGTGGACATCTGTGTAGAGAGGTGATTCCATCCCTAGATCTGCTCTATTCCCTCCCCTGCAATCAATGTCAGCTTCCCAGAACTTAGACACAATTCCACAGAAGAGAAAGGTAGCTGCCGTTCCAGATTTGTAAAATCCAGCTGCTCTTATTTATCCAGGTTTGCACATTAAGATCCCTAGCTACTATACTGCTTCGTCTCTGAAGTTTTGTTTTGCTTTTGTGGCTATTCTTTAGCTAATCCTTCTAGAAAATTATATTATACCCAGATTGCCCAATTTATCAAGCACTTACATATTCTCCCCTCCCCCCAAATTTTAATTAATTCATTTTTAAGCAGGTAATATGTGTACTTGAAAAAATTCAAAAGGCATCAGCTAGGTACAACAAGAAGTAAGTCTCCCTCCTACCCTTGCCCCTCAGTCCTGCCACTGCTGTCAGTTTTTTATGTTTCCTATGATGTCATGTGTACCTATTCTCATACAGAAATACAGTCTAAAAACAGACCCACAATCATATTTTACATATTGCTCTGTACCTTGCTTTTTCCATGTAACAAGATGTCTTGGATATTATTCCATGGTTGTATTTGGCATTCCATTCTAGAGATGCACCATGATTTATTTGAGCAATTGATGGGAATTTAGGTTGTTTCCAGATTTTTGTTATTAAGAGCAGTGCTACAACGAATTGCTTGTACAACTTCTTTGCACATTATTTGAATATATTTGAGTGATAATACTAGAAGTAGAACATAGGAATGACAATTTTGTGCATTTAAAGTTTTAACAGACACTGTCAGTGGCTCTTATAGGGATTATACCACGTGAAATTCCCACCTCAAAATATGAGTGCCTTTCTCCTTTTATGAAACTTAAAAGTTTTTTCTCATTTGATAAATGAAAATTAATCTCATTGTAGTTTTTCATTTTATTTTAAAGATTAATTTGTATTTTCTTCTGTACTCTTTTTTCTTTTATAACTGATCATGACCTTTGTTCACTTTTCTTGTTGATTTTTGTTTTATGTGTTCATAAAATCCACTATACATTTTATGACCTTAGCCCTTTGTAATATGCATTGTGAATTTTCTTCCAGTTTATTGTTTGTGCTTTGACTTTATTTCTTTAGAAAATTTAGACTTTTTTTCATATATAGTTTAATTCATCAATCTTTTATGGTTTTAGACCTTCTCTACTCAAGAGATTTTCTTTTTAAACCTCATGCTTTCTTTAATATTTTTTTCTGTTTTTATTTTTCTGTTTAAATCTTTCTCAGTAAGGAACTTATTGTAGTAAAGGGAAAAGCAGAATGTTAATTGCTGTGTTTATGATGTTCCATTTATAACTTTTACTTTAAATTAAGTTCCTGATGAATCGTGTGCAATGGAATAAGATTCTGCTTTGTACCTTCAAAATAATCTGTTTGAATCACTTAATTTAATTGCAAAAATAAGTTTTGCAAGAAAAAAGTCTTCAGTATACCTTTTCATAGTGCAAAAAAAGCCATCTACTTTGGGTGAGTTAATTTTAACAAGATTGGAGTAGGGAGAAGGTCAGGGGAGTGTCAGACTATTGTAAACTTAGAGAGCAAATGCAAACTATGACAAACATGGTTTACAGTTTCATGTGAACAAAGACAATTCTCTAGGGCCAACATTCTAAAAAATGTGGTTTCCTATAACAAGAATTTATATTCTCAACATTTTAAAAGTCAACAGTCCTTGAAATTATTAAAACAAACCTTTGAGTATTATAGGAAAACTGTCTTATTCTGTAAACTTAGGTAGAAATTAAACTTTAAGATAACATGATACAGAATAAGTATAGTTTTAATTTAAATTTTATGGTAACTGGTATATAAATATTATCTAAACTCCTTCATTATTTAGCTAGAACAAAGAGTAATGGCTAGCCCAATGCTTTGCATTTTAAAAGCACTGGTGTTGACAATTCAAAGTTTCTCATTAAATAATTTGAAACACATTGCTATTATTACAACTATTATTTTAACCAAGGCTGAGTCAAAGACCTTGGGCACAGAATAATATACTTTAACTTATACAAAAAATGGACTTAAGCCGTATGATGTTGCAAAAGATTGCACTTTGAATTAAATTTAACCAACTGATGAAAACTCTGTTGCAAGAATATTCTGTTATCAGGCTTACTAATTTTTATTATTGAACTTAAAAAATTTAATTTTTAATTACACAACAAAATATGAAGGCATTCAGTTTTGAAAACTACAAATACAACAGATAAAGCTAAAATCGTCTTTGTCTCTACTCCTTTACCTGTTCTCTTCCAAAACCCCAGCCTCAGACTGTTAATAAGCTTGGTGCCTATGCTTCTAATTGAGTTACTTCTTTATTCAATAATATACTTTTCCGATCTATTCACATTGAAAAGCGTAGATCTTGTTAGTTTCTTTCAACTGTTGCAAAATATTCCATCAAATGGAATGCTGCGTAGTCACTTCCTCTGTTGATGAGCATGTAGTTTTCTTGCAGTTTTCATTATTATGAATAACATTGTAATTAATATGCTTGTAAATGTCTCATTATGCACCAATTATATTTTTTTAAGAAAAATGTTCTAGGGCGCCTGGGTGGCTCAGTTGGTTGAGCAACTGCCTTCGGCTCAGGTCATGATCCTGGAGTCCCGGGATCGAGTCCCGCATCGGGCTCCCTGCTCAGCGGGGAATCTGCTTCTCCCTCTGACCCTCCTCCCTCTCGTGCTCTCTGTCTCTCATTCTCTCTGTCTCAAATAAATAAATAAAAAATAAAATCTTTAAAGAAAAAAAAAAAAAGAAAAATGTTCTAAAATAGGAATTTTGACGTATGAGCATTTTGAGTTAATATACTGTCAAATTATCCTCCAAAGTGGCTGTCCTAATTCCTGCTTCCATCAGTAGTGTATAAGAATACTGACTTCCGGGCGCCTGGGTGGCTCCGTTGGTTAAGCGACTGCCTTCAGCTCAGGTCATGATCCTGGAGTCCCGGGATCGAGTCCCGCATCGGGCTCCCTGTTCAGCAGGGAGTCTGCTTCTCCCTCTGACCCTCCCCCCTCTCACGCTCTCTCTATCTCATTCTCTCTCTCAAATAAATAAATAAAATCTTAAAAAAAAAAAAGAATTCCTCATATCAGTGAGGTCATATGATACATGTCTTTCTCTGTTTGACTTATTTCGCTCAACATAATACCCTCCAGTTCCATCCACGTCGTTGCAAATGGCAAGATCTCATTCTTTTTGATGGCTGCATAATATTCCATTGTATATATATACCACCTCTTCTTTATCCATTCATCTGTCGATGGACATCTTGGCTCTTTCCACAGTTTGGCTATTGTGGACATTGCTGCTATAAACATCGGGGAGCACGTACCCCTTTCGATCCCTACTTTTGTATCTTTGGGGTAAATACCCAGTAGTGCAATTGCTGGATCATATGGTAGCTCTATTTTCAACTTTTTGAGGAACCTCCATACTGTTTTCCAGAGTGGCTGCCCCAGCTTGCATTCCCACCAACAGTGTAGGAGGGTTCCCCTTTCTCCACATCCCCGCCAACATCTGTCGTTTCCTGACTTGTTAATTTTAGCCATTCTGACTGATGTGAGGTGGTATCTCATTGAGGTTTTGATTTGGATTCCCTGATGCCGAGCGATGTGGAGCACTTTTTCATGTGTCTGTTGGCCATTTGGATGTCTTCTTTGGAAAAATGTCTGTTCATGTCTTCTGCCCATTTCTTGATTGGATTCTTTGTTCTTTGGGTGTTGAGTTTGATGAGTTCTTTATAGATTTTGGATACCAGCCCTTTATCTGATATGTCATTTGCAAATATCTTCTCCCATTCTGTCGGTTGTCTTTTGGTTTTGTTGACTGTTTCTTTTGCTGTGCAAAAGCTTTTTATCTTGATGAAGTCCCAATAGTTCACTTTTGCCCTTGCTTCCCTTGCCTTTGGTGATGTTTCTAGGAAGAAGTTGCTGCGGCTGAGGTTGAAGAGGTTGCTGCCTGTGTTCTCCTTTAGGATTTTGATGGACTCCTGTCTCACATTGAGGTCTTTCAACCATTTGGAGTCTATTTTTGTGTGTGGTGTAAGGAAATGGTCCAGTTTCATTCTTCTGCATGTGGCTATGCAATTTTCCCAACACCACTTATTGAAGAGACTGTCTTTTTTCCATTGGACGTTCTTTCCTGCTTTGTCAAAGATTAGTTGACCATAGAGTTGAGGGTCCATTTCTGGGCTCTCTATCCTGTTGCATTGATCTGTGTATCTGTTTTCCTGCCAGTACCATACTGTCTTGATGATGACAGCTTTGTAATAGAGCCGGAAGTCCGGAATTGTGATGCCGCCAGCTTTGCTTTTCTTTTTCAACATTCCTCTGGCTATTCGGAGTCTTTTCTGGTTCCATATAAATTTTAGGATTATTTGTTCCATTTCTTTGAAAAAAGTGGATGGTATTTTGA